TAATTTTGGGTTGGAAAAGTGGGGGTCGTCTTGTACATGGGGGCGTCTTATTGTCGGAAAAATTCAGTAATATATAATTGATAGTGTTTTTACTTATGCAGAGCACCAGGAGCTTGAGGTATATGTGTGTGTGTGAGAAAATCACGTAAAACCTCATACGTGGGGGTATGACATATTGTAACAGCTGTATCTCTCTTTCTGAAAGCTTAAGGGAAGGTGGACTGTATATCATCTTTGAGTGAGATGAGCAGTGCCTAAATTTGAAAAATAAATAAAATAAATACAAATATACAATTCTGATAGATTTAAATTATAGTGCTTTTTTTTATTATTAACCATGATTTCCATCAAATTTGCATCTTTTTTGTTATTCTTTCCTGCAGGTCTTCGAGTCAATGGGGAACTCATCACTGCTTACCCACAAGTAGTGGTGGTTCGTGTACCAACACCATGGGTGCAGAGTGACAGTGATATTACAGTTCTTCGCCATCTGGAAAAGATGGGCTGCCGGCTGATGAACCGTCCCCAAGCCATACTCAATTGTGTCAACAAGTTCTGGACTTTCCAAGAATTGGCTGGTCATGGTGTGCCTCTTCCAGACACTTTTTCTTATGGTAAGCCAAGAAACTTTCCATAATTATTATGCATCTGTGAAATATTAACTGAAACTAATATCCAGTGTATCATAAGAGCGTTTGTGTTGACAGGAGATGATACAACACATAGCGCACCAGGTACCTTCTTGTAATTTTTTTTAGCACAGGCAACTTCCTGCCACTGATAAAATCTATTTCTGTGTGTGTGTTTACACACTCCTCTCCACTTAAATCTAAGTAGTAGCATTAATTATGCTGCCTGGCATTAATTATGTCAGTTGGCAATCTCTCCTGGACTGGTAGGACTTAGTTTTCTCCAGCCTCGTGAAAGCTATCTCATGAAGAAGATATGCTCCTTGATATCCCCACCCCATCCCCACCTTCTTTTGGTTGTTTTCTGACTTCAGCCAGTTCCATTTCTTGCCTTGACCCGTCTCCTCTGAAACTAACAAGGCTTTAGCAGCCAATGCTGCCAATAATCCATCTTGGTTCTCCAGTCATCACCTTCTTTTCTAGAATTCTCATCCCTCCTCCTTTTCCTTAGCCAGCCAGCTTAGCCCATATCAACTTCCTGTCTCCTCCTCTCCTGTGAGAAAGTTTCTGCCTGTCAAAAACAAGTGTGTTATATCTTCTCCAATTTTTTGTTATCAGTTGAAAGAACAGTGTGTATATCTATAAACTCAAGTGACAGAATAACAGATAGCAGTCCAGCTGTTGTATTCTTTCACGCAATAAACAACTTTTTTTTCCTAATTTTGTATTTGATTGAGAGTAAAGGAACTCTGTTGAAAGGCAAAAATTAGCTTGGGTTATTTGGTTTAACTTCCTCTGGTTATATTTGAGGTAGATTCTCTAGTCTGTGAATGACAGAGGCTCACCTGTCTTCCTGCAGTGGATGGGTTGCAACCCTCCTATCACATCTCTTCCTGCCAGTTGCAATTTTAGTGTTTGCCCCCAGGTCATTTTCTATGCCTCACTGTTCCCTATTTTCCTGACACATTTCACAGTATTAGACCCAGCAACCAGAAAGCCAAATTCCTTCCCTCTGACCTCCCACCCACACATAGCAGAATAAAAGTGGGATTCATTTAGCCCAAATGCCTCTATAAGGGGCTCCCAAATCCAAGAGAATGCATTTTACAGGTTGCAAAAGGTTTAATTAAATCAAAATCAGAAATTCCAAAAGTATCAGCAAACCAACAACAGTAAAGAACTTTCCGGGAAAAGAAAAGAATATTAAATTGATTATGGCTTGCTGAGATTAGTTGGGTATATGCACTCTGTGCATGCTGTTTTGTCCTGTTGATTGTGGAGCTTTCAGAATGCCTTTAAAGATAAAGACACCATGTATATAAAGGCAACTGGAAGCTGAAGATCAACAGGAACCAACACCATGCACAGAGCACATACATAATATATGTAAATACAGCTAGGCAGCAGACCAACCAAACCAGCACATACAGGTACTTTTTGCTTTTACCTCACTTGTGTCTGACCTTAAGCACAGTAGTGCATGCATTTTGCCTGCTTTCTTTTGAAGGCCACCCACATTACCCATCCGCATGAAGTCCAGCTTTCCAACAGGAAAAACTGTAGTGGCTTTATCTTCCAGGCAGTTAGGCAATCGCTTGCTGAGTGGAGAAGAACAGTCCTCGTTCTTTTGTCTGGGCTTTGTGCTCAGCTGCTAGTCAGAGCATCATGTATGTGACCTCAGAGTCAGCACACTTGTTTGACTCATCTGAGTCAGGGACGGGCCCCATAAACCTCTTCATTGGCCATACATTAAGGTAGGTAAGTCATGCCAGTGGGGTCAAGGGAGGATAGGATAATCACCCTGTAATTCTTATAGTGGGACTCACATGGAGTCTCCTCCAGAGTGAATCCCACTCAGTGGTGTTGCTCAATAAGCAAGTGACTGATTCGCAGTACAGGTAGTCCTCGACTTACAACCATTCATTTAGCGACCATTCGAAGTTACAGAGACTCTGAAAAAAGTGACTTACCACCAGTCCTTGCACTTACCACCGTCCCCACAGTCACATGATCAAAATTTGGATACTTAGCAACCGGCATCTATTTACAAAGGTTGCAGCATCCCAGGACCACATGATTGCCATTTGTGACCTTCCCAGCAGGCTTCCAACAAACAAAATCAATGTGGAACTGCAGGATTCACTTAATGACCACATGATTTGCTTAATGACCACCACAAAAAATGTAAAATCAGATGTGGTCACATGACACCTTGCTTAATTTGCAAGCTCGTTTGCATCCGTATTTTTTATAGCTATGGCTGTTTCAGCTTTAACTCTTGTTTGGTGGGTATGATTTGGCCACAGTGAATCATGCTTCAGTAATTTCTCAGTGCAGTTATGCAGTTAATGTAGGGTTGTGCTGGTAGGTCGTCAGAATGCAGTGGTCAAACTGTTCAGAATGCAGTCGCAGATAGACAGAACAATCAGGCAGAATGGCCTTACACTGATTCTGAAGTTATTCAGTGCTGACCTTGAGCATTTATACACAATATTCAAGCCAAAGATACAGTACTTGCCTTTAAAGTCTGAAACTGCTTAAAGCCTAAATATTTGAAATAGTGTCTACATATGTCAACCTTCTGTGACTTGAGATTTGTCCAAGTTGGCTGAGGTTTGTTATGCATCATAACAATGAGAATCTTTAGGTTATGATGCCCTCACAGTGGCATACCTTTCCCACAAACTGGCGCCAGCATTCAAGTTGTTTTAATGCTAGCTCAATATCTTTGTTTACCCAAAGATTTTAATCTGTAGATTTTGTATTTTCTTCTTTCTCTATGTCTGTTAAAAGGATTATCTACAAAAATGAAGGGCGGTTTTAACATGTGCTAATAAATAAATGGTATAGCAGTTGCACTCTGTACTTATTCAGTGTTCTAGGAGATTTTCAAATGCATTGGAATAGTTCAGTTGCCGCAGCCAAGTTTTTTTCTGTTTAAGAAAGGTTATAGATAGTGTGCCATTCTTAACTGACAAGACAATGCATGCAGAGGCTGTCACTGAGCTTCAATAAATTGCTGTACTGTATAAGCCAATTCCCTATAGTTGTAAATCAGACCTTTTAGCATAATGCAATGCCATGCCGAAAGGAGAGCTTGAACACCATCTTCTAGTGGTCCTGAGCTTATTTCAGCTCTGTCCTTAGGCCTTTTAAATTGTAAGAGAAAAAGCCATAACATTAACAATATAATGCTAGATAATTTTGTATTAAAAGATACATGAATTTTTTTTATCCAGGACACAGTTAGAAGTATACCATAACTGGTTAATGTGAAGATTTCAAACTCCCCTTACCCATTGATGTGAACTTTTGAACATTATTAGAAAGTAACCCGGATGTACCCTTGGAATACTTGAGAGTAATACACTTTTTCTGTCTAGAATAACTGAATTTTGCACAACAAAAGCACATGTTTGTGTACATCCCTATTTTCACAGCTTTGGCTATTTTCTTTCTAGGGGGTCATGAAAACTTTGCCAAAATGATTGATGAAGCAGAAGTGTTGGAGTTCCCCATGGTTGTAAAGAATACCCGAGGTCATAGAGGTGAGTGTGAGAATCTGTATTTGATTGTTGTACTGTTGAATGATTGTTGTAGTGTTGTCCAAAATACTCTTCTATTTCTAGCTGCAAAATAGTACAAAATGCTCATAATATCTTACATTTAGTCTTATCACAAATACAAAAGTTGTTAAAATGACATAGTATTAACAACCCTTGCTTTCAGTATACATTGCATTTCCTAATTTATCTTGTATGCATTTATCAACATTAGGTATATTTTTTGTCTAACTGCAGTACTCACATAGTTACACTACTGTATTGCATATTGAATGATTGCAACAATAGAAATTAACACTTTTTTTCTTTCAACAATCACAAAACATAATTCATTGATAATCTTGACCCACCAGTTCAATTTAAATGTATAATTTTTATTTAAATTGTCAAGTTTTTTGAACAAAAACTTGTGGCTGCTTGTTTCTCCATATGAATTAGCGAAGCATTCTTCATCAAGATGCCCTTGAGTTGAGTATAACTTTTAGTAACATCATGGACATGTTCATGTAGGTTTTTTTGTGCAAATATACAGAGGTGGTTTACAATTGCCTTCTTCTGAGATGTTTTTCAACTCCTCATTCTATCCAACTGTATTAGTATTATATTTCAAGTTAGTTTTAAATTTCATTTTATAAAATTACTAAAAGATAGCTCTTCTGTGAAATAAAACTTGACAATAGATGGAATCCCCTGTTATATTTCTGTTAGTGGAATAAGTTTCTGCTGATAAAAGAAGAGGCCACAATTCTTCTTCAGTTCTGCAGAATCATCATCATCATCATCATCATCCCAGGCCCTTGGGAAGGACTTGATAGGTGGATAAAAATGCCAAATCCAGTCTAAACATCTGGCTGACTGTGCGACCAACCATCATCATCATCATCATCATCATGGCAGCTTTACTTGGAACAATTTATATCCTGTGACAATATTTTTAACACCATCAAACAACATCATCTGCCTATCCCAGGTCCTTGGGAAGGACTCGACAGGTGGATAAAAATGCCAAATCCAGTCTAAACATCTGGCTGACTGTGCGACCAACCATCATCATCATCATCATCATCATGGCAGCTTTACTTGGAACAATTTATATCCTGTGACAATATTTTTAACACCATCAAACAACATCATCTGCCTATCCCAGGTCCTTGGGAAGGACTCGACAGGTGGATAAAAATGCCAAATCCAGTCTAAACTTCAGGCTGACTGTGTGACCAACCATAATAATAACAATAATAGCAGCCATTGTGAATGTCCCCACTGCAACAATACCTTTAACACCATCAAACAACATCATCTGCCTATCCCAGGTCCTTGCGAAGGACTCGACAGGTGGATAAAAATGCCAAATCCAGTCTAAACTTCAGGCTGACTGTGTGACCAACCATAATAATAATAATAACAATTTGCAAAAGTCAACTTTACTTGGAACAGCTTATATCCTACAACAATACCTTTAACACCATCAAACAAAATCTGCCTATCCCAGGTCCTTAGGAAGGACTCGATAGGTGGATAAAAATGCCAAATCCAGTCTATGGATCTGGCTGACTGTGTGACCAACCATAATAATAACAATAATAGCAGCCATTGTGAATGTCCCCACTGCAACAATACCTTTAACACCATCAAACAAAATCTGCCTATCCCAGGTCCTTAGGAAGGACTCGATAGGTGGATAAAAATGCCAAATCCAGTCTATGGATCTGGCTGACTGTGTGACCAACCATAATAATAACAATAATAGCAGCCATTGTGAATGTCCCCACTGCAACAATACCTTTAACACCGTCAAACAACATCTGCCCATCTCAGGTCCTTGGGAAGGACTCGATAGGTGGATAAAAATGCCAAATCCAGTCTATGCATCTGGCTGACTGTGTGACCAACCATAATAATAACAATAACAATAGCAGCCATTGTGAATGTCCCTGCTGCAACAATACCTTTAACACCATCAAACAACATCTGCCCATCTCAGGTCCTTGGGAAGGACTCAATAGGTGGATAAAAGTGCCAAATCCAGTCTAAACATCTGGCTGACTATATGACCAACAATAATAATAATAGGAGCCATTTTGAGTGTCTCCACTGATACGGTGATGTCATAGGGGTAAAAATCTCCCTTTTTAATTTTGATGGTCATGAGGATTTAAAAGTCCAACCAAGATTAATTAAACATTGTAGAGAATTAATGGTTTGCATCTGTTCTGTTACCATCTGCAGCAGAATACTGTAATGTCTACATATCTTGTAGGCACAACTTTTCTAGTTGCTAGGAAAATCATGATTTAATATACTTCCACTTTCTCTGTGGATTTTTGGAAAAAAAATTATGCTGCTTGGAATTTATTTCGTTGTATTCATAAATAACTCCTCACATAGCCTCTGTGATATTTCTCATCTCCATTCAGCTTGTTGATACAGTTTCATCCATCCAGTCTTGTAAAATTAGAATTACTTAAAGTTAATTTGAAGTTACATCTGATTTTTTTCTCCCCAAAAGCAAGTGAGAGGGTTCTATTTTAAATCAACTTAAAATAGGGTAGCTGAAGAAAATGGCATAAGTAAAGTGAGAACTCTTAGAAGAGCAGTGTAAGATGATTATATTACAGGTATTGCAGAAGTCTACAGAAGGAGGCTTCAAATTTAACTCTGCTGTTCTTCAAGTGCCTGATGTTCTTCAGTACAATTTCGGATATAATGTTGCTTTTAAAGATAATTTCAAAATGAAATTACTGCATTTGGGGACCATTCTTTTTCAGAAAAAAATAGGTAATATGAATACACCTTTTGAAATTTAAGTTATCCGTTAGTAATGCAGTAGTAGCTAAAGATTAAAAAAATAACATACAGTTCTAAAGTAATTGTATCATTCATGTGGGCCCATCCTATGATTTTGTTCTGCTCTCATGTCACTGGGTTGTATAAATTAAGGTGTGCTGCTCTGTCTCACCAGAAGAAACACCCTAGCAGAAGCAAAAACACCACATGAAACATCCATGAAACATCATGAAATCCTTAGCAGTTACATCCCAGGGATGTCTGGGTAGGGAGTTGAGTTTAAATAAAGATAGCAGACTTCATCCAAGTCTGCTAAAAGCACCCTTTGAAAGGAAAAATGCAGGCACTAAAAGGGAAGAAAAGTATTATTGTATCACCCTTATATCTTCCCAGCTCAGTAGGATGGAAGATTATAGAGAACCTACAGATTCCCTGCAGGAAGAGTTCAGTACCTCTGTATGGGGGATCAGAATTTTGCCAGAGAACGAAAAGAAACTCCTAAGACCAGCAGTAATGGAATAAACTGCTACATTAGCTGCAGCAGTAGGTCCAACCTATAGCAGTAATTGATGATGCCTCTGCAACTTTGAGTAAATAGTCATCCATAGTGGAACATAAGAACATAAGCAGTGCTTTCCCAGATCGAACTCCTGGCCCATCTAGTCCAGCAGTCTTCTCACAGTGGCCAACCAACTGTACAAGGAAGCCTAATAGTCTCCCAGCAGACAGCCTTCAAAGGAGTCACAAGAATAGCCCAACCCTTTTTGAAGCAAGCCAAGCTGGTAGCCAGTACAGCTTCTTGTGGTATGAATTCCAAAGTTTAATTACATGTTGTATAAAAAAATATTTCTGTCCTGATTCTTTTGGCATTCAATTTCATTGAGTGACCTCTGATTCTAGTAATTTGGGAAAAGGAAAATAGCTTCTCTTTGGCCACCATGCATAATTTTGTACACCTTAATCATATCCCTTCTCATTCACTTTTCTAGCCAAAAAAGCCCCATGTGTCACAACCCTCCCTGATAGGGAAGCTTTTCCAGCTCCTTGATCATCTTAGTTGCCTTCTTCTGAACCTTCTCTAGCCACACTATATCATTTTTTAGGTGTAGCAACCAGAACCATACACAATATTCCAGATGTGGTTGCACCATTGATTTATATAAGGGCATTATGATACTGGCTTCTCTGTTTTCAGTACTGAAACTGGTGTTTCTCAGATCCAAGCGATCAAGGTCAGTTCATTCATGCTACGCTGAATTTCTGTCAGGCCCAGCCCAAGAACAACAACAAGGCAGTCCAGTCCAGTATAGTTCCTTTATTAGCTTGCACCTAATAGAAACTCGCCAGACTAAACCTATGCTAAAGCAACTAATGGATATACCCCATGAGACTCAAGGGAGGGGCTAGTCTCAGCTTCTTCATCTTCTCACAGTCCTGCTGCAGGCTGAGGAAGCACGTGCCCTGTAACCTTTGCTGGAATGCTCCCCCTCCCTCCTGATAGCCTTGATCTTCCATTCCAGTATCCTCCTCGCACATGCCTTCCATTACAATTTCCTTTTAAAACTTCTGTATTAGAGAATGAAAGCAGAAATGTATGTAGTTCACCTACTTTTTGTAGATATTGTGTATTTATTATTATTTTGCTTAGAGCTTCATCTAAGGGTTGGAACCTAAGCTTATTTGTAGATTTCAGTCTCTGAGTTTTGTTTTGCACTTTTTCATTGCTAGTAATTATTTAGTTGTTTATGTTAGGGTATGCTTTACAATCTATGACAGGCTTACTACCCAAGACTTATGTAGAATTTCATTGAATAGATAGATGAGTAAATCAGATTCCCTAATGAAGAAATTTTAAATAGAAGCAACATCTTTTGTATTAGTTGCTGGAAAAAAAAGAATTTCTCTTCAAAAGAGCCTCTTCTGTTTCATGGGACAGAAATTAAAACTACCAATTAAAGCAATTGGGTGGAAGCAAAGACTGGAAAGTAAGAATCTTATTTCTTTTTCCTCAGGGGCATAATGTTATGATACATTAAGATTAAGGAGGATTATTTATAAAATCCTCCTTAAGACTGCAAGAAATATGTTTTATTTATCAATGATATTATCCTAAATATGGTTGTATGCAACTAAAGGATATTTATCAGTAAATTTAACTTTTGAATCTTAATGTATTTATGTCATGGATTTTGATTTGGCAAGAATTTTAAATAAGTTTTGTATTCCATTGCTATACTAATTATTTTAATTGGCAATTGAAATTTAATTGGAACTGGTTTGCTTTGATTCATCAATTAATCATGAACAGCACCTTGGAATCTCTGCCATCTTTAGTCTGTGATTGGTGCAGCCCTCTGTTTTATGTGTCTAGAGAATCCCAAACCTGTTGCAAAACACTCTTGCAACCTAGTTCTGCTAGAATAGCACGGAATGGTACAGGCCAAGATTGAAGGATACTGAGAGATCTATACTGAGGGAGTTGAGAACTGGAATAAGCCCTGGAAATTGTGAGTGTACTTTAAGGTAATATTTTCCAAATTTTGCTGTTTTAGTACGCTAAATGTATAAAGTACTTTGTCATTTTTATTTATATTCATTCATTCACCAGTGTTGCCAAGATAATATTTTCAGTACAGAAGTTGAGGATGTATAGACACACTGCCTTTCCAACTCTTTAAAAAACGGGTAGGAAAATCACTGACTACTTTTCATCTTCTGTGTTCTTTTGATGCAGGCAAAGCTGTGTTTCTGGCCAGAGACAAACACCATCTGGCAGACCTGAGCCATCTAATTCGTCATGAAGCCCCTTATCTATTCCAAAAATATGTCCAGGAGTCTCACGGCAAAGATGTGCGTGTCATCGTGGTGGGAGGCCGTGTCGTGGGCACTATGCTGCGTTGCTCAACAGATGGTAGAATGCAGAGCAATTGCTCACTTGGTAAGAATGAAAATGTGTTCGAATTTCCTATATATGTTGAATTTTTAAATTCTAATTGAAGGCATACATTTTTCATACACAGTGGTATTTTAAATAATTTAAAGATTAGCTTAAAAGAAACTTAAATGCAGTAAACCTTGATTTAATGGACTAAAGGGGAAAAGCGTGTCTATTAAGCCCACATTTCCACTAAATGGCAAATTGGATTTTTCAAGTCTCAAAACATGCTTGTACATAGGAAAACTAATAACATGAGTATCTGTTTTGAGGAGAACCATGATTATTATATGGACTGTCTCACCAAATAACAGATTTGGTCTATTGTTTGGAGCAAAGCCCTGAAAGTTGACCAAAACTCACATCCAGCAAGTTTTATCCGTGAAATTTGAAGTCTGCTAAATTAAGGATTTGCTGTATAATATTATTTATATTCTTATAGACTGCCTTCACATTTATATTATTTCTGCTATTTCTTTTTGGAACATTCTCCCCCTGTCAGTTAACTGAAGTTAAGAAGTAGCAGGGGTGGTTAGGCCATATTATGTGCCAGGCAACATCATGCAATTTCACACAATCGTGTAATCACCAGAACCTTTTTTTAATACCAGCATCTCACAACATTAAATCTTGAAGGATTAAAACAATCTCACCCCAAGATCTTATGAAATTTTAACTTTCTCAGCCCTGATCATGAGATTTTGTGTGAGTATACTGAAATCTCATGAGACTTCTGCTATTTTTAATCTAAAAACCTGTTTTTTAAAATGGGTTTTGTGGGTAGTGCAGGTGTCTTAGTGTCTGGGAGTGCTGCACTGCTTTTCCAGTATTAATAAAATGAACAATCATTTCTTGTATCTGGAAATTAACACTCTGAAATGGCCCATATTCTGATCAAATTCTCTTTTATGGGCCTTAATTCCAAGGTTAACACTACTTCATTGGCTTCAATAAGTTTTTTATATTCCTATTTTATTTCATTCAGCCCTTTATTTCATCTCTCAGAGATGAGAGTAGGGAACCAAAGGCAAATGCACTGTCAAACACGGGTGAGCTTAACAGTGTAATTGTGAATTACTTAAAGAAATGGTAGGATTGAAAATAAGATGCAGATATTAAATAAGTAATATCAGCCTCCATTGGTTATCTTCTTGTCCATCCCGCAAAGTTTCCCTAGAACACATTTAGTTTTAACACTTGCAGTCATCTTCCTTTGTCATTTAAGATGGAAAGTCCCCACAAAATTTCTTAAAAGCTAGCCTCAATACCATAATAAACATTAAGATCTCACAGCACTGTCTGTAGCCCAGGTAGGTTTATAGATAGAGAATTTGAGCTGGAACACTATTGTACTCTGATTTAGCTTTATTTCTTTTACCAGGTGGTATAGGAATGATGTGCTCGCTGAGTGAACAAGGCAAACAACTGGCAATCCAAGTTTCTAACATCTTGGGGATGGATGTGTGTGGCATCGACCTCCTAATGAAGGATGATGGCTCGTTCTGCGTCTGTGAGGCCAATGCAAATGTAGGTTTCATTGCCTTTGACAAGGCTTGCAATCTAGATGTAGCTGGTATCATAGCGGACTATGCCGCTTCCCTGCTTCCTCCCGGTCGCTTGACACGACGCATGTCCTTGCTCTCTGTGGTGTCCACGGCTAGCGAGACTAGCGAGCCAGAGCTGGGACCTCCAGCTAGTGCCACTGTCGACAATATGAGTGCCAGCTCCAGCTCTGTCGACAGCGACCCTGAAACCACAGAGAGAGAGTTGCTCACCAAGCTCCCGGGGGGGATATTCAATATGAACCAGCTAATAGCCAATGAGATTAAACTCCTAGTGGAGTGATGCCACATGTAAATAACTGTGACCAACTTTCTTGTAAATTTTTTTAAAATAAAACCAACTTGTAGTGCTGTTTATTGGAAGCAGCTTATGGAGGTGAGGTGAGGGTTTTAGCCTTGGGATCAGAATCAAAACACGCATGTTCTGTGAATGCTGCTTTTGCTACCTATTAACCTTGCAGAACATATGTTTAGTTGTTATTTTTAACAACTATTTATCATTTGATAATGCTCTGTTTAAAGTCTGCATTGGGGAATGGGGGACAAAGAACTGGATAAATTTTTTCTGTTTTTGATAGGGATGCCATTATGATCTTTAAACTCATTTCATAGGAAAATGTTTCATCTTGATTTGTGCTTTTGCAGTTTGAAAAGGTAACGCTCCAAAAGCATCTGTGAACTAACGCGTTGCCAACCATCCCCTCACCTCATTGGAGCTCATTCATATTAGTTTATGCCTCTTGCTTTATGTCCCATAGGAGTGGAGAGAAATTAGAACAGCCAATTTTATTTCATCCAAAGGTTCTAAATATCAGCATTTCCATCTATTATCAGTAAGATCTGTAAAATTGTATCCCTGACAAACAGTCCACAATGGCCTCTGAAATTCTGACCTTTAAGCAGTTTTGCAGGGTGCAACATTGATTAGTTCAGCATGAGCTTTTGAAATAAACCTGCAACTTCTGCCATTTCTGTATTAACAGACGTCCTCGTGCTTAGATTTAAAATAAAATTCACGTTCCCTGGGAGAAAAATTTTACTATGTGACTGGATTTTAAAAATAATTTTAAATCCTAGGTTTAGGTTGGGAAGGGGAGAAGCTGTGTATAAAATTCAGTTTGGGTCATTGATGGCAGAAGTGGCATGTTTTCTTTCGCACAAGAACCGAGATAAACAGCACTGTTAACTTTTGGTGTACAAAATAATGTTTAATCCAATGTGAAAAAGAATAACACTAGTTTAAAACAAACGTGCATTGACTTGTATTTGTTAGTGTTTTAGTCCTTTTTGCAAGATATATGCTGTGTTAATGTTTCATTTTTAATACATGCTCGTCCAACACTTCCTTCTCCATGCCTGCATCTTTAACAGCGGCCCAACTTGAAAAATACCCGTACTACTCAACATCACCACTAACAGTAATAAACCTAAACACTTTAAAAAAAAATCTGATGCCTAGAACATATGGGAGGGGTGTGGAGGAGGGCTGAAACGGTTGCAAATTTCGAAACTACTTTTCATAAATTTAACATGTTACTATTATTGATAGTAGCTTTCCTTTATAGAAGGCATTAAAATCTAAAGTGGCCTGATTTACCAAGGATAAATCTTGAGAGAAACAAGCAGGTTTTGGTTTTGGTTTTGGGAAACATGTTGCCAGTAAGGCCCAGCCAGAATGGGAATATGATTTAAGGCTACCCCTGTGTGGATCTCAGGCCCCTTTGTATGTGTCTGTATTTTGCTTTGTTTTTGTCATTGGTTTTTGTCTGTCCAGTTCGTCAGTCTTTTTTCCAGAATGCCTGATGATCTCCTCTCCCAATCCATCCCTGATACTTCTGGCTGTGCATTTTCTTATTAAATTTGATAAAAGAACCAAAACAACAGCTTTGGGTCTGTTTTAATGGCCTCATCTTCCTCCTCCTCCTCACCCATTTCTCACTCATGTATTTCTTTGGGGAATATACAGTATTGAAACTATAGAAAAATGTAAATAAAAATCCTGTTACTTTAAAAACAACCATCCACAACACCACACAGTAGAATGTGTGTAACAGGAATTTGGCTTTGGAGGGTGGGCAGCTTCTGTATGCAGGGTTGTTCTTGTCTCAGTGCTTCAAAGGAGCAGTTTACCCTCCGGGGCTCTAAGCTTCATGCCACTGGCCAACTTTACCACTCAGATGTCTTACTTTCACTCGGCTATTAAACACTTACCACTTGTGGACACTTTACAGAAACACTAGGAATAAACAGAAAAGTGTTAGCCTGCTTTCATGATCATGCCGATTTGTACAGGTTTTTAAATGTAACAATGAAGTTCTTGTAGAATTAAATGTTACTGTTAAAAGCAAAATAGAAGGTTGATTGTTGGCATTAGCTGGTGAAGCAAAAACAATCTTTTACAGTGTTTAGGTTGAAGAAGAATACAAAGGTTTTCATTTAAAAAACTCAGAAAAGAAAACTCCCAAATAGTTTTCTTTCCTTCTGCTTTGTGGCCCTTCACCCCTTTGCTAACTAGATGTGTGCCTTCTAAAATACAGGTTTCTTTAAAGCATTGCACATCTTTCAGGAACATGAGCAAAGAATTAATCATTTGTTAACTAACAGAACTTCAAAAACTTTGCAACACTCGCAGGAAACAAAGTCGATGCCAGAAGAAGCTTGACAACTCTTTGACACTTGTGATTTGGGCTATACTGAGTTTCTCCATTGCTTGAGGAAAACAGCTTGTGACAAATGTTTTTCACATGAAACTTTTTCAAAATGTGTAGACCCAATTTACACCACTATAAATGCAATGGAATGACACACTTTGTTCTGAATCATACACAAGCAAAACATTAAGGGATTTTACACTTTGGTTTATCTGCTTGTCATGAGATGGCCATGGGTACCTTGTGGTTGTATTGGAAAGTTGGAAAAGAGACTGAGTAACATTTGGGCAAAGAAAAGTCTCACATACTATTGAAATAGAAGCTGGCATTGCATGTTAAAATCATATAGGAAATACCATGCTTAAAAAAATGGGGTAGTACATTTCCTCCCTACGTAGTGTAACTTCATTAGAAAAATGTAGAAGTCTTAAAAACGTTACTATTGGTAAAGAAAATGAATTGAGTTTCTAATAACTAGGGTTTAACTTCTGTAGAAAGTAGTGCTACACATCACACTTCCCTGGAAAAAAATATTGACAAGTATATTAAGAGTACCAACATTGCTTATCATAATTTGAAATGAACAACTAGTAAAACAGAATTGAACAAATGGGAAAATAGAAGCTATAGTGAATGTCAGCACAGTCAGTGATTGCATAGCATTAAAATGGAACCAGGTTTGGGGGTTGGATGGTAATGATGGAGTTTGATGGAGTACTGTGTGTTTTGTTTGTTCTTTTATTTTGCAGATTGAAGTGCTATATTTATACTTTTTGTACTGTATAGAATTACAGGTTGTGTTTGTAGCTTTGTATGTTCTCAGATTTTACATTGTTGATAAACCTTCTCATTCTGGAACACTTTGATAGAGCATTAATAACATGATGGGAGGACAGCATATTTGTGGACTACTTTTGTTGTTGTGTTCCATCAAACTTTCAAGCTGTTGGATCAAACTACAGTGACTTTGTTCAGCAATGTATCAGAAGATCTGCCAAGAAAAATGCTCTGAACCAGTGAAGTTTGGAAAAAAAAAGACAGTTCTAGAAGTGCTGCATTGGACATGTACCAGACTTGATGGGTTGGATAAACTATTTTAAACTTCACATTCTCCCATTTAATAAAAGCAAAGCTCAAGTTGGTTAAATGTATAAGGGTTTAAACTATGTAAGATGTATCAACGTGTACAATTCTTTCTCATGGCTCACTCTTTTTGAGAAGGTTTATGAGCTATTTGGCTGGTGTGAGACTCACGACCCACTCCTGTTCTCTCTATGGAATTGTAGGTGCTCAGACAGGTAACCTCTGCTGCTACTGTCTCTTTCATTTTTAATTTTTCACTGTTCTAGGAATTTACTATAGAATTTATGACAAAAGGTTATCTTTTTGCTTTCCTTTTCTTTTCTTTTCTTAATATATATTGAGTCTCCTGATATTGGAGGGTGAATTTTGGGATGTTCTAATGGTGGCTTGGACCATCGTTGGAAATTTTTGGATCCCTCATGTTACGGTTTTCAGTTGAATGTCTTTTATTTGCTTAATGCATTGTCAATAACATGATGTTTTGGGGTGGGAATTTGTAGCATTTAATGAATCACTATGTAATACATACTCCTTTTTTTCCTGAAGGTTCTAACAATTCACACTTTCTTACTGTTCTTTGCAAAACTTTTCAGGAGCCAAAAAAGTCAAACAATCCAGAGAAAAACTTCCCTTCTCCCCTTTCTGATGACGAGAGAGAGAGCTTGTGAAAATCCTTGAGAATGTTCCTCCCTAAACTTCCCCCCCCTGTGGTAAAACAATAAACGCAGCAGCCTGGTGACATCCAGTACCAACCCCTTGGCAGGTAACTTTCAGCTCTTTTGATCATCCCATATTAGCTAACACTGCTTTCCTTTCTTCTCTCCCTCAGTCTTAATATGATTACTGCTGTAAAAGAATGAGTCTTAGGAAGCAAATGGTATTTCTTCTTTTCTTGTTCTTAATTATTTATATATTTATTAGAGTCAAACTTTAAAGCTTCTTGTGATCCGTGTGTTCAAGTAGGATCATGGCAAGGGAAAATTTAAGCAGTGTGCAGTGTCAGAAAGAAGGGATGGGATGGTGTGTAACTCCACAGATTCTGCCATCTCGACCTACCCATGTACCTCCCTCTTCTCACTGCCCCTTCCCCCAATATACATTCTTGGCTTAAGTTTTACAGGGCTTTGGTGCTTTCCAGGGGCACAGTCAGCACAAAACTAATCGGCATCAGTTAACAGGTATGAAAACTTAGGTGTAAAAAGTTATATAATTTTCTATGTCTTATAGCAGGGCTTGGGTGGAGGCCAATGGGTATTTATTTATGAAGATTAAGAGTGGGATTTTATTTCAGGAATTTTCTGTATGTGTTGCTCAGCGTAACTGTCATTTATTGGTAATACTGAATGAGCTAAATGATTTCTTAATACTTTACATTTGATTTAACATCCAAATATCTGCATAAACATACAGCAGCAATGATACAGCCAGTGGCAGAAATAATTTCTAATATGAAAGAACAAAATGCTTCAGATGAACACTCCCCCAAATCATTTTGTATGTGTGCCCACACATGCCTTATTATATCAAGAAAAAATGTTTTTTTCTGTCAGGTTAATCTTGTATATCAAATGCTTTGGAATTTAAAAGGGACAAATTATTCTGCTAAAATACATTAAAAGTATTATTTATTTTTGTTATGTGCAAGATTTCACAGATATTGTTTCACACTATTTCTACAGCTTCTATTTTTCACAGACACTTAATCTCTCTCTTCATGGCACTGGCATAGCTAATTTCTTTGCAAAGTTATCAGAAACAAAAAATGGCTACTCTGCAAAGTAATTTTACAATTTTACAATTTTTGTAAAACTGACTTCCCTGTTATGTTATTTTTGACCCAGAGGCATTGCATAAAGGGAAAAACATTAAATTAAAATTGGCTGGTGAACAGACTTTTTGTTCTTCTCTTGCCAATTTTCAGGCTTTTTGACACAACCCGATTCCTAGTGAAACTCTATGACTTAAAAAAAGCTAAACAGCAGAAAGGATCATGTTGCAAATTGTTCCTTATAATTGTCACAGCCCATGCAAATTAATAATTTTTGAAATTGGTGGAAGAAGGGGAAAAGTGATGTTAAAACAGTAGGAGCCTGGGGAAACTACTATTCTGAACAGTGTTCAACAAAGTTAAATTTCTCCACTTTGCTTGCATTGAAAGGACAATGCAGTAAAGCCGACATTTGGCATTGTCCAGAGTTCCAGCTTTCAGGAAATACTGTTTTATTTTTTTAATGTTCTATGTGATTTAAGGTTATGAATTGCAGAGTTCAGTTAGCAATATACTTGAAAAAAGAAATAGTGTACTATGAAAGAGGAAAATAGAAACTAGATAATGCTTAATGCAACAGAAAAGCTTCTGTTGAATTGTGCGATGGTAACATAGCAGAAGCATCTGGTGGCATTTGTATTTTTAATCTGACGTTTAATAGCTCCGTCTGTAAGGATATCTTCCAAAGTCTGTTATCTGGGTCTTCTGTCCAATATTTTGCTGAAGAGGACGGGCGGTATGGGAGGAAAGGTTGTAATGAGCTTCATGCCTTTAAAGGATCCCCATTGTATGATTTTTTTGTGAGCTGAACAAGAACTTCTTCTATATGCCCTTGTGCTGCAACAGAATAATAAAACTGGTAGGTGGCAGCAGAAGAAGGAGCTTATGCAGATGGCATCCGAGAACAGAGAATGCTGCCATGTGGGGAGAGATGGATTCCAAAATATTAGCTGATGTAACGTGCAAAGATGAGAGACAGCTTCCTTGACTTGTTACTCTGCATGGTGAGTCTGACCCTTGATCAGTTCTTATCCACCATAATGGATATCTTAAGTCCACATTTCTGTTTAATCTGGAATACTGACTAAGAGTGAGCTGACAGATTTAGACATTTCTCTTGATTTCATGATCACTTCCTTAAAAAAAAAGTTTGTAAGCAATTATTCCCAACTGTTTTCCTGTAGGTGCTACTTCTTTATGTTAAATATACAAAAGTGATAAAATAGATAATTTATCACTTTCTTCCATCCTGCATTGATTCTATTCATGTACATAGAGATGAAGCTGACACTAAGGATGGAAAATTTGTTTACAGTGTGAATAGGATGGGAAGTGAAGCAATTTCTTAGGAATGCTTATCTTCATAGGACTATTTGCACAAAGCTAATATAGTGTGTGAAATGGAAAAGTAGAAATAGAACTCATTAAGAAGAAAGTTTCACCAGCTAAATAAATGACAAGCAAGAATGTATGCTCTTAAAAGATCAAAATTAGTTTCTTTGGGCTCTCAAATTTTCTTTATTGGCCTTTTCAAAATCATTCTTTGAACCTCCCAATTTTTGAAGCTTATTAGAAATTAGTTGTAGCACTGCAAAAAATTGTGATTCAGAAAGTTTTTTAAACTGTTGTTAATAGGTAAGAGGCATATCATGCTTAATCTGGGAGTCACATATTTTAACCACAATGTAAATCATTCAGTACCTCATCATTTGAAGAGCTTTCTGTGAAAATAACAATAATTCCCTCACAGGTGAATGACTGTGATAATTGTAGGAATCACTAGAATCCATGCACTACTTCCATATGCAGGAAACGCATCCTAGGAGAAGCAATTTATTTGTGATGCCATATATGTGAATGTGGTATATAGTTTGACAAAGTATCCCATGCATTTTAATTTTTTTTTGTTTTTATTATATGCAAAAGAGGAAAGAAGTAGAGGAAAAGAGGAAAGAAGAATACAAGGGATTTACATTATTCATTAATACTGCATACAGCTACATTATTATCATTTAAGTAGGAGTTTCCTGCTCTTTAAATGTTCTTTGCATATCTGATGTGTATTTGGCTAAAATTCCTGCTGCATCTCTGAGAAGTGCAATATGATTTATAATTCTAACACTAGCCTGCCTCATTCTAAGGAAGAAGTTATATAGAAATTGTAAATATTGTTATAAGGACAAGCTTCATGTAGTAACCATTTTGTATTATTGCCCCCTGTCAAGCCTGTTTAAAAAGCAAGGAAGGCCTGAACAATATACAAGTAGTCCTCAATTTACAACCATTCATTTAGCAACCATTCAAAGTTACGATGGTGCTGAAAAAAGTGACTTACGACCAGTCCTCACACTTACGACTGTCACAGCATCCCCACAGTCACATAATCAAAATTTGGGCACTTGGCAACCGGCACGTATTTACGACAGTTTCAATGTCCTGAGGTCACGTGATCACCATTTGCGACATTCCCAGCTGGCTTCCGACAAGCAAAATCAATGGGGAACTCTGTGATTCACTTCATGACCATGATTCGCTTAATGACCATAGTGATTCACTTAACAGCCGCTGCAAAAAAATGTTGTAAATTGGGTGCAGTCACCTGATGTCTCACTTAATGAATTTTCCAGTCCCTATTGTGGTCATAAGTTGAGGACTACTTGTAGTTAAGTAGCATACTTTTCCAAAATATAGAAATACAGTGCATAAGTATATAGGAGCAGGTTAGCTGATTGCAATTCTAATTTTAATTAAATAAATTTACTTTGTTAACTTAAGTTTGTGTACCTGGATATACACAGGATTCTTTTCAGCTAAGAGTTGGGCCTGAGTCCATCACTGTTTGAGTAAATGTAGAATTAGGATTATACTTGAAGATAATTTTATATTGAGCAAGTGTGATATTTTCAAATATTTGTCATTCTCTTTCACTGTCTGAAAAATCCTATTTTCTCTTTTCTGCTTTTTACAAAATACATACAAAAATGTACAGTATTTCTTTGAGAATAATAAAAAGCAAATGGATGAGGCTAATTGGTTAATGATAAATAAAGCACTACAGATTGTGATGGAATGGCAAAACAACTGTTAAAATCTAAGTGAGAGAAAATAACAGGATAGATTCAGTCAGTCATGAACTAGAGCTACATCTTTTTGCCAGCATGGGTCCACTCAGAACTTTTTGGCTCACTAGGTGTTTGGTTCCAACAGTCTCACTTCCTGCCTCTCTGTGTATCAGATTTAAAAAATGTAGTTGATACCTGTAAAAGCATTTTTAAATTAGTGTAATTGTTCCATGAGAGCAACTTCACAGGAAAGAGTCATATATGGAGAGGCAAGGATTGACCTCACCTTGCCTTCCATGCTATAGTTCACCCCATGTGGCAAAAAGATTCTGAAAATGTTTCATTGATACTCCATCCCCTCCCCTCAGGCCTTATTGCTCTGCTTGCAGATGGAACTGAGGAATGGGTGGCATTTGAAAGAGGTAGATGGAGGAATGAATATGCATGTCAATAAATTAACAGGAAGAGTGACAGCATGTGCCAACTGTCTCCACTTCTAGCATCCACTGATATGTAGCCCCAGACAATAGTCTGAGGAAATGTGGCCCTGAAGAAGGGGTGATTTCCGAGTTATACTGTAGGTTCTCAGAGTGATCATAATGAACCCACAGTAGCCCACTTAATTATCGGACAATTGAGGTTTCCTCAATTAAAGAATGCCATCTAATGGGACCTAGGAAGCAGGCCTTTTTGGTCACAGCGCCTGCCCTCTGGAATATCATACCTACAAGATTAGTTTGCAAAGTGTTGAATACTTGGGTGTGTTCCAGGGTATGGGGTTGGGAGGTTAAGTGTTCCATGAGATGTTATTGTTAAATGTTTATTGGGTTTGTTCTCAGTGACCATTTTAGGTTTATTAGGCTTGTATTGATACTGGTTGTTATATTGTTTCTGATGTGCTGGTAGCCACCCAGAGTTGCATCTACGAGACGGGCAGCCATGTAAATCAATTAAATAAATAATTAAATAAATAAGTCTTTTGGAGACAAAAGTATTACTTCCCCTATGTCCTTTATTGAAACTTGCATCCAGGTCAAATGCTGCAAGTTTGTCTTAGGAGTTTGAATGAACATCAGTTCTTGCACCCTGAGCATGTTTTTCGAGAAATATTTCCTGCTATTTGTGTTTAACTTTACCCCACCTAATTAATATTTTGCAGAAGCAGAACAGCTGTCTTGATCTGAGAGATCTAAGTACCTCAGTAAGAGAGGAGGCATTCCCAGTTCGTTGAAGGAGATAGCAGATAGATCCTTTCTGGATCAAACATTTTCTTTTGGGAAAAAATAGCTGAATAGGCTATGGCAGTTGAAATGTATGGGTGAGACCGACTTTTTTCAGTGCAGATGAAACAGTGAATGATGCAGATTCTAGTAATGGTATGGATAAGGGCAAAAGCACAATCCAAGTGCTGCTGGGGAAATTTAAGCTAACCAGGAAGATAGCATTCAGCCTGTGCAAACTTAGGTGGCACTCTGACTTGAATTAATCAAATTAATATAACTATTAAAATGAGAACTGCTTTGTATTTGGAAACTGAAGCTAGTCAGCAGTCAGGAACCACCATTACAAACTTTTCTTGGTTAAAGATCTGTTTTGGCTTGCAGTTGGTGTTTAGGTGCAGTTCAAAGTGCTAATTTTTAATTTTCAAAATATGACCCATACAAAACTTACCACTCTTAAGGTCCTTTAAGATCCTTGTCCTGCATTTTCCTTAGAAGTTTAGGCAAGTTGTGATGGTGGAGAATAAGGCCTTTGCATATGTGAGGTTCCAGTTTATGGAATACCTTTCCCAGGGTGCCCTCTTAAGTCCTGGCTTAGTATCTACCCTGATTATAGTTTAGGCATAAGATGTGAAGTTTATTTGGGTGAACCTATTATATGCCTTCTAATTTTACTGTTGTTATTATTATTATTATTGGCTAGTTTACTATTTAGTAGAAATTAATTATAGGTAGCCCTAAGCATACACTCATAAAAAAGGTGGGTGATAAAAAGTAGTGAGATGTAGCCATAGTATATAAAATTGGTTTTTTAAAAGTTACATATACAGGTAGTCCTGGTTTAGCTACTACAATTGGGATCAGCAACTCATTTGTTAAGCGAAGCAATCACTAAGTGAAATCACAACCATGCTTATGATCTTACTTCAGATTTGCTTTGCTTTACAGACCTGCAAAGGACTGGTTGCAAAGTTACTTTTTCATCATCATCTTAACTGTGAATGGTCGCTAAAAGAGTCATTTGCTAAATGAGGACTACCTGTATTGGCAAATGGTAAAAACAAGGGGTTTTGATTTCATCAGTTAACAGGAGAGGCAAATATTTATGCTTACTAAAAGGCACCAGTCAAATATGGATGGACTGATGAATGATCATACATACATACGTATATAATATATATTAAACAATGTGGGTATATCATAATAACCGAACATTATTTTCTTTTGACATGAAATGTCAAATAGCAACAAGACTGATTCAAACTGTTGCTTATACAAAACCTCCGATTTTGGGGGGGGGGGGCTGTGATTCTGAAAATGATAATTTAGCTTATACTTCCTATACTTACAAGCATCTGGATCTTTTGTAGTAATGGAAATTAGCTTCCTAGCCTAAATCACAAGGAAAGCCTAAATCATAATGAAAGCAGAGCCACAAGGAAAAATAAACAAGGCTGTGCTGAGGCTGTGTGACCCAGTGTGAGTGCAGGACTCAAGTAGTTGAATTGTTCTGGAGTTGTTTGTTTCAATTTGTTCTCTAATTCTGGATTGTGGTATCAAAAAAATTAACTTATATTCTTGCTGGGAAGATTCTTTCTGTGGCATTAAAAAATTCCTTCATGTATAACATGAGGGAATAGTTGGAGCCGTGTATACCTAGTAGACAGGATGACAGTGCACCTTAGCCCCTTTGAAAAGGAAACAAAAACACCCTCCCTCTTTTTAAGGCTTCTGAACACAGCTCCTCCTTAGACATTCTCAAAGAGGGCAGGACTGGCTGTATTTTCCATGCCAAACCATGCAAGTTTATATCTCTAGCTCTCTAGAGGTTGGGAATAGTCTGACCTTGTGTGTTACTGCCCATTTGAGATGCAGCTGTTTGAGTGACAGATAATGGGCTGGTTGCAGATATCACTCTGATTAGGTGTGTTATCATAGTCTGATTTCGAGGACTGATTTGTTGAAAACTGAATCCAGTCCTGCTCATTCTGTTTTGTAGTATGGCACTTTATACAAGCATTTGAAAGATTTCTTTAAGCTTGGCTGCTGCAGTGGCACAGTTTACAGTACACCAAGCATAGGAATAACTAGGAATCAAAAAGTGGGTGAGGGCTTTGAATTAGAACAAGGCATATTCATGCCACCCATTTTGCCTTATGCAAGCAAGAATCTATCCTGAATTACCCAATCCATTTTGGAATTTGGGTTTCATCTGGATCCAGGGTAACATGCTTGTTTTTCATAAGCAACTTAAAGGAAGATTTGTGTTAGTTTGTAACATTTGTTTATTTTTATGTTGCCTTTTGGCCACAAAGGGACCAAGGTAGCATTGCTTAAAACAGTGTTGCCTTTAGAGCATTTTAAAAATGAAATTCTGAAATCCAGGTGTATCCTTTTTCTCTGCCTAAAAGCAAAGAAGAAGAAGCAGCTCCGTATTAAGGGTCCCAGGTGGAGTATGTGGCAAGAAAACTGTAAAATGATCCATTACCTTACCTCTGATGTTTCCCAATACAGCTTCTCCCCTGCAGGTTTGTAGAAAAAGGAAGTGGGAGAAGATAAGCACCAGACCTCCATTGCAGAAAGCAACTTTCCCACATTGCTGTGCAACTTTTCAAGATAGACACAGGTCTCTGTCTGATTTATAGCTCTGTTGTAAAGTAATGCATTTACCTCTGGATGACTTTGCAAGTAGAGATAATGTGTATCATTCCATATCTTTATTTTAAAAGGAAAAATGAATAAAGATACTCAAGAACACTCCATCTTTTGACTCTTCTTTATATTTGAAATTATACCTATAATATGTAAAGTGTCATAGGTATGTAGCTGAGTATTTCATGGTGTTTTTGACATATAAAATATAGGTAGGTCTTTTTCATTGCTCTTCTGTAAGTTTTTCTGGCATGCTTGCTCTCTCCTTCTCATAGTATTAGATCCATGTTTTCTTTCCATCAAATTTGTTTTATTAGTTACTTTTTTAAAACCCTTGTGCATGTAAGAATTTTTAATAGTCATCTAAAGATGCATGTCAATGGCTGACCAGTATCTGGATAGAAGATCACTCAGAGACACCATGTAGAGTATATTCAGATCTATTGTTGAAGAAAGACAGTCTATTAGTGTAATTAAATAAATGATCAAACTTTTTCTTTTTTCAATCCTCTTGACTCTTATTTTCATAACCTTGTTTCTTGAGCTTTTTTCTAAGCTCCCAGCTAATTTGTTTACCAAGTATTCCTTTTTCTTCTCAAACTCAGTCTTCTTCATCCTGATAAAACACACCCTTTTCTTTCTTTAGACTTCATGAAACTTTTCTTTCATTCAGATTCCACTTCCTGACAAAAGATGAAATTACTACAAGTAAATTATGTATTGTAGGACAGACAGGTATATTTTCTAAATCCACATATTAAACAGAAGGGTGAAGAGAGCTGGATTTTTTAAGACGTAAAATGGAGTGTGGGTGAAAGGAATGAAGCCAGGCCCCTGCTTTTTTTTGCCTGCATTCCATTATTTCAAACAATTTTCTTAATTCAGCTATAATAACAGAAGTGAGCTCAATTCAGGAAATAATGCAGAAGGGTTTAATTTTGCTGATATGCTTCATTTTACATTTTAAAATTCAATGCATTTCAATCATACATTTTGTTTAATCTACATAGCAAGATAATTTGACATATAATAAATGTATTCTTTCACATGTAATTAATTTATCAATCTTGTTTGTGGACTGTTAGATTCCTGATCGTATCATCAGTCTGGAAGTAGCCATTTAAAGGAATGAGAATTTTGTCTAAGGTGGTTTTATTTTTATCCTTTCCTGTTCAAGGGAAATCTTCAAGAGATTTCACGTAGATGCATTTATCTCATACGTGGGTAGCAGAACCCAGCACTGTGACTGAGTATTTCGATACTATTGAAGAGATGAGCAAGTTTGCCATTTGCCCCTGAAGGCCTTGCAGGCAAAGTGCTTCTCTCAGAATTCTAGAAATAGTTTTGTTTCAGTTGGCAATTTCCGAGAAAAACTGGGAATGTCAGGGAAACAGATTATGATTAAGTTGTTGTGAAATCACTTATGCACATTTCTCTTTTCTATTAAATATTTTCACAGGACTCTGATGCTAGGTCAGCAGCCCAGGGACTGAAATTTTTGCACTGCAGAACAGGTAATGCATGACAAGGAGACAATGGCAGCAGCATGCTTTTAGAGTTGGTTTTTGCTCATATTTTCTATTGTGCCTTTTCCCCCCGATATTGAAGAATCATCTACAAGGCTAATCAGTATCCTTGGTGAATCTCTGGTGGCTACCAACGAAGAAGCCAGCTACTCGGGTGGTTTTAGTGATGCTTATATTTCCATTTTCCCTTTAAGATTTCCCTTAGTATGTTTTATATTGTACTGACCATGTCTCTTTCTGACTTATTTCTATAGGCTGTATGAAGCATCAAACAACATTCCTTCCTCTCCTTTTATGAATTGTGTTCCTTGCCCTTTGTTTCTTCAGTTCTAAAAGGAATGGATCAGGGTCCAGAGGCTGGAAAAATGGCAGCAGTGTTAATGCATTCATAAAATGGAAGTTACTCAATAAAATGTTAATTTTTAATTTGTGCGTGCAATGTTTCCCTGCCATGTTCTTTATAATGCAGCTAATGAATAGAACTAATAACAAGATCTAATGAAACAACAGAATATCAGTGTTAACATTTTGATTTTCTGCTTGCCTGATGTTATTTAGAAGAGCAAAGCATTGTTGGAAAAATCACTTAAATCTATATTGTTACATAATCTCTACTGTGATATATCTAAACAGTATGCCCTCTTTAAAAAAATTAATATAATTGTTCAGATCAATGAATTGGTTGACAGTTGGACTTGCTGCTGTTTCATCACTTTTGCATGTCTGTGTTACTACACATGTAGTAGAGTAGCTGTCATGTCTTCCTAATGGTAAATATTTTACTACTACTTTATCTGGAATCAAGCAGTTGTGCAAAACCTTCAGTTATCATAATAAGATGGATTTTTCCTATACCAAATCACTTATTCTTTTCTCATGGGCTCTTGTAGCATGAAAGTATGCTCTGATTTATCTAGAGTGCTGATCTATCAGTAAGCTTGTTCTGTGCACTGTTGGAGTCAGACTGGCATGGTATCATATAACTCATTTCTCCACATTATCATTCAGGTACATAAGTTGGGAAGCTAGGACTGATCAGTTGGGGGTGGGGGACGTGAAAGTAAGGGATTGTGATGGAGTTTTAGCCACATGCTTCATGAGGAATTGAAAAGTGCCATTGTGCTTACACTCAGGTTCAACACTGTTGGTCATCACATGTGATGTTCATTTGATGTAGTTTAGGAGGTTGGATCCCTTCTCATTACTTAGTGCAATATTGGGAATAGTGGAATTACTTTAGGGAAAAATATAAGTGGTTCTTTTTTCCCCTCCATTTCCATGAAAACTTGAATTAAGTGAGCTACATAGTGGCTACTGTCTGTTGAATCCTGGATTTTAAAGGTACAGCCATTTCTGTACATCAGGGGTTCAAAACTTTTATGTCGAGCACACTATGTTTGCATAGTTAAAACCTGAATTCAGAAAGCTGATAGGAACATGATCCAAAGTGGACCTGATTTTGGGGGGGGGGGGGGGGGGGGG